TAGGTTCCCACCCTGGCTGGTAGTTTAAGTTCCCACCCCTGGCTGGTAGTTTAGTAGGTTCCCACCCTGGCTGGTAGTTTAGTAGGTTCCTACCCTGGCTGGTAGTTTAGGGGTTCTCACCCTGGTTGGCAGCTTAGAGGTTCCCACCCTGGGTGGTAGCTTAGAAGGTTCCGACCCTGCATGGTAGCTTAGAAGGTTCCCACCCTGACTGGTAGTTTAGGCTCCCACCCTGGCTGCTAGTTTAGGTTTCCACCCTGGCTGGTAGTTTAGAAGGGTCCCACTGTGGCATGCAAAGAGTATGTTACTTATTTGGTGTATGTACACACTCTCATACAGGATGCCTCACAACCAGCGAACCAGGTAATAAGGGTTTAACGATTCAGGGGGCCCCATCGTTAAATCAGTACCATGGTTGTGCCAATCATGTTCTGGGTCTGACAACTGCGAAGGTGATGTGGCAGCACTCACAGTTTACTCTTGCCAGATTCACCCAGGTGCTGGTCAATCACAGTTGTCTCACTGTCTTTAGGCTGTTGTCTTGCCTCTTGATTACCGTGATACTATTATTTTCCATACTTGTAAATACCTACAGTATTTGGTGAAGGAAAATAAAATTATAAATCTGTGTTTATTTTCGTTCCAAGCTCACATTACAGCCAGCTTAACAGGCCTTGATTACCTGATACCATAATATGGGAAGCCTTCCAAGAGCTGGAGCTGGACTTAGCAGGAACTGGAGCTTAAAGCTGAAACTGGATCAGAAGCTAGTCTTTGTATCGTTTAGATAGCTTCCTATCTGGCATTGCATCAAGCTTTGCCAATGCTTCCAGTTATTGCATGTCAACTTTACAGTCGCTTCACTATTGTGTTAGCCTTGCCACTGTGTGTGAGCATTCTGCAATCGCTTCTCTATTGTCAGCCTTGCTATTGTGTGTGAATATTCTGCAGTCAGCTTTGCTACTGCGTGTCAGCCTTGCTATTGCGTGCAAGTATCCTGCAGTCATACTGTGCATAGCTGCTTGAGTGTGTATTGCAAACAGCATATTAGGTTGGAGATAATGCCACCTATACGAGTCAGACGACTGGGGTCTGAGTTCACTTTACTAAACCTGCCCAAACTTTCTCTAAAGCACTGTTGGCAAATTGCTCGTTCTATTGGAATTGCCTATTAAAATACTCTTACTGCTGCACAGCTTTGTGACATAATTTGTACAAAGTTGAAAGCTGACGCAGCCGTGGCACACAGGAATGACGTTTCTCCCTCTACAGGAGCAGTTAGTCACAGATCTCCACTTAGATTCCTGCAGAATAATGGAAGGGATGCAACACCTGAACAATTAAACCAGCAGTTTTGGGAAACAACAAGTGCCTCAGAGTTGTCTACCTCTGTTGCTGTTAGCAATGAGAGAAACTGTGCAGGAGTCCACAGGGTACAGTCCATTTGAGCTGATCTTTGGGCACAATGTACGAGGTCCTCTTTGGGTGCTCAAGGAAGGATGAATGGGAGAAATAGCCTGCTCAACACTCTACCCTTCTTCAAGGTTGCAGGTGGTACATCGGTTGGCTAAAGCTAACTTAAAACTAGCTCAAAATACAATGAAACAGAGGTATGACAGAAATTAAAGTTTCACTCCTTCTATCCAGGAGACAAGGTGTTAGTACTGGAACCTATACATGGCCACACCTTAAAATTTAAATTTATGGGACCTATGCAAATTGTAAGTAAATTATCTGATGTGAATTATGTGGTATCTCCCCTTGACAAGACCTCAAAAAGTAAAACATACCACATGAATCAAATTAAAGTATTTAAAGCTTCAGATAAAGTCCCAGTAATGACGCTGTCCTCTGCCTCTGTAGTCGACCCTGACTCTTTGCACCCTATCCCTGAAATCCATAGCTTCCCAATTCTGTCCTCCTCAAGGATCCTAGCCCTTTAGGTGGGGATGTCAGAGAATCAAGTAACAAGTTTAACTGTGCTCCTACAATTTTACCCTGATATTTTTTCAGATGTGCCAAAAAAATGTACACTAGGATATCATGATGTAGATGTTGGAAACTCTAAACCTATTAAACTCTCCCTCTACAGAGCTAACCCTGAAAAACAGAGGCTACTTCAGCAGGAGGTAGAATTTCTGATAGTGCATGGGTTAATGGAGGAGTCCATGTTAAGAAGCTGATGGAGGTTGTCGAATGTGTACAGACTACCGTAAGGTGAACAAGGTCACTATTTCAGATGTTTACCCTCTGCCATGTCTGGATGACATAATTGACTTCGTGGGTAAGGCTACTTTTGTGTCTAAACTCGACTTACTTAAAGGTTACTATCAGGTACCTTTAACAGATAAGGTGAAGGAAATCTCTGCCTTCATAATTCCAGGAGGCCATTATCAGTATACAGTAACCCCTTTTGGAATGAAAAACTCGCCTGCATCATTCCAGAAACTGCTCCATCAGGATATTGAAGGACTTAAAGGCACAGCCACTTACTTAGATGATGTTGGAGTGTTGGACACTTGAAACCAACATAGGTTTAGGCGGTAGGCTCTCTTTGAGACTTTCCAGAGTTTCCACTTAACTGTTAATTTATCCAAGTCAACCTTTGGCCAGTCTACTGTTAATTTTTTGGGCCATGAAGTAGGTAGTGGCAAAGTGACCCCTAAATTTGCTAAAATTCTTGATATTAAAAATTTTCCAGTACCTCCTGAGAGAAAATCATTCCAATGTTTCCTAGGCATGGTAGGGTTTTATAAAAGATTCTATAAGAATTTTGCAGATGTCATAGCCCCTCTGACCTCCCTTATCAGTCACAAATCCCACTTTCAATGGTCTCCCGAATGTCAAGATGCTTGTACAAAAATAAAGCACATCCTTTGTACTGTACCCGTTCTTTTGTCTCGAGATTTCTCGAAACCTTCTACATTACAGATTGATGCTTGTGAGTCAGGGGTGTTGGCAGTACTTCTACAAACTGGGGACGATACGTTGCAACCTGTAGCTTACTTACACTTTGATAATGACATTATCAATGACTTGATAATGATAGGGGCCAGTCATCTCAAGTGGTCACAGTCTACAGTGGCGACAACCCTTTGGTTTACCTGTATAAAATGAAGAACCTGGCTGGTAGTATAGATTTCCACCCTGGCTCGTAGTTTAGAAGATTCCCACCGTGGCTGTAGTTTAGGAGATTCCCACCCTGACTGGTAGTTTAGGAGATTCCCACCCTGACTGGTAGTTTAAATTTCCGCCCATGGCTGGTAGTTCAGGAGGTTCCCCCCCTGGCTGTTAGTTTAGGAGGTTCCCACCCTGGCTGGTAGTTTAGAAGATTCCCACCCTGGCTAGTAGTTTAAGAGGTTCCTACCCTGGCTGGTAGTTTAGGAGGTTCCCACCCTGGCTGGTAGTTTAGGACGTTCCCACCCTGGCTGGTAGTTTAGGATGCTCCCACCCTGGCTGGATAGTTTAAAAATTCCCACCTGTGGTAGTGTTTGGAGGTTCCCACCTGGCTGGTAGTTTAGGAGGTTTCCCACCCTGGACTGGGTGTTTAAGGTTCCCACCCTGGTGGTAGTTTAGGAGATTCCCACCCTGGCTGGTATCTAGGAGGTTCCTACCCTGTCTGGTAGTTAAAAGGGTTTCCCACCCTGCTGGTAGTTTGGAGGTTCCCACCCTGACTGGTGGTATAGGTTCCACCCTGGCTGGTAGTTTAGAGGTTTCCACCCCTGGCTGGTAGTCTTTGGAGGTTCCCACCCTTTTTTGGACTGGTTATCAGAGGTTCCCATCCTGGCTGGTAGTTTAGGAGGTTCCCTCCCTGGCTGGTAGTTTAGGTTCCCACCCTGGCAGGTAGTTTAGGAGGCTCCCACCCTGGCTAGTATTTTAGGAGGTTCACATCCTGGCTGGTAGTTTAGGTTCACACCCTGGCTGGTAGTTTAGGTTCCTACTCTGGCAGATAGTTTAGGAGGTTCCCACCCTGGCAGGTAGTTTAGGAGGTTCCCACCCTGTCTGGTAGTTTAGGTTCCCACCCTGGCTGGTAGTTTAGGAGGTTCCCACCCTGACTGGTAGTTTAGGTTCCCACACTGGCTGATAAAATTTCCACCCCTGGTTGGTATAGTAGGTTCCCACCCTGGCTGGTAATTTAGGAGGTTCCCTCCCTGGCTGGTAGTTTAGGTTCCCACCCTGGCTGGTAGTTTAGGAGGTTCCCACCCTGGCTGGTAGTTTAGGAGGTTCCCACCCTGTCTGGTAGTTTAGGTTCCCACCCTGGCTGGTAGTTTGGAGGTTCCCACCCTGATTGGTAGTCTAGGTTCCCACCCTGACTGGTAGTTTAAATTTCCACCCCTGGCTGGTAGTTTAAAAGGTTTCCACCCTGGCTGGTTGTTTAGGTTCTAACCCTGGCTGGTAGTTTAGGAGGTTCCCTCCCTGGCTTGTAGTTTAGGTTCCCACCCTGGCTGGTAGTTTAGGAGGTTCACACCCTGGCTGGTAGTTTAGGTTCACACCCTGGCTGGTAGTTTAGGTTCCCACCCTGGCTGGTAGTTTAGGAGGTTCCGCCCCTGGCTGGTAGTTTAGTAGGTTCCCACCCTGGCTGGTAGTTCAGGTTCCCATCCTGGGTTTTAGTGTAGGAGGTTTCCACCCTGGTTGGCTGTTTAGGTTCCCACCCTGGCAGGTAGTTTAGGAGGCTTCCACCTTGGCTGGTAGTTTAGGAGGTTCACACCCTGGCTGGTAGTTTAGAAGGTTCCGTCCCTGGCTGGTAGTTTAGGAGGTTCCGTCCCTGGCTGGTAGTTTAGTAGGTTCCCACCCTGGCTGCTAGTTTAGGTTCCCACCCTGGCTGCTAGTTTAGGTTCCCACCCTGGTTTTTAGTTTAGGAGGTTCCCACCCTGGCTGGTAGTTTAGAAAGTTTCCACCCCTGGCTGGTAGTTTAGAAAGTTTCCACCCCTTTCTGGTAGTTTAGTAGGTTCCCACCCTGGCTGGTAGTTTACAAGGTCCCCACCCTGGCTAGTAGAGGGTACCTGCAGTTTCAGCAGATGTGTTGACGAGAAGGTGATGGAGGAGGGCGTGCAGGTGGTCGTCAGGTAAATGTTCATCGTTCAGCAGGTGCTCGTCAGGCACACGTTCATCGTTCAGCAGGTGCTCGTCAGGCACACGTTCATCGTTCAGCAGGTGCTTATTTGTTAAGAGATCGTCGTCCTTCAACATGCTTTCATCTTGTAACAGATGATGCCCTAACAGGTGTTCCTTTAACCTGTGTTTGCGCTTCAACACACATTCACCATTTGACAGGCGTTGTTTGGGCCTGTGGGTGATTGGAAAGCTTACAGGTGCAGGTGTGGTGTCAGCAGGTGCAGGTATGGTGTCATCAGCAGGTACAGGTGTGGTGTCATCAGGTGTGGTATAATCAGCAGGTGCAGGTGTGGTGTCATCAGCAGGTGCAGGTGTGGTGTCAGCAAGTGCAAGTGTGGTGTCAGCAGGTGCAGGTGTGGTGTCAGCAGGTGCAGGTGTGGTGTCAGCAGGTGCAGGTGTGGTGTCAGCAGGTTGTTCACACAACCACGCCTCCCTGTTGCTTTTCTGGGCTTGAACTCGACCTTTCCTTCTGTATATCACTAACTCTTTGGGTTCCATTTTTATGGAAGATTTATATGGGGGAGGAGTGGAAGTCAGAGTGGGTGTGGGTGTTGAATGTGGGTTGACAGGGAAAGGAAAAATGTGTGTGCGTTGTGGGATGACTGGGAAAGGAAAAGTGAGTGCGAGTTGTGGGTTGGCGGAGGAAGGAAAAGTGAGTGTGGGTTGTGGGTTTATATATCCTGCTTGTCTCTTGAGTCTGCAGCCTGGATGACTCTTCTTGGTCCTAAGAAGGATGAGTTGGTCTTCACGTTCCGCCTCACTGCCACTACCACCACCACCATTATTACCACTATCACCATCATCGCCACCACCACTAACACCACCACAACCATCACCACCACCACCACCACCATCACCACCATCACCACCACCATCACCACCACCATCACCAGCATCACCACCACCACCATCACCCACACCACCCTCATCATCATCAATGAAGGGAATGTCATCTTGTGTTGACTGCAGGTCGAATAAGGCTCGCTGTGTTGCCTCCTTCAGGGAGCTGCCCACTTCAACGTGCACACCAGCGCTATCATCCATATAAACACTAGGTGCACTCGGGCACGTGCCTGACACTTCACTGGGCACCCTTAGGCACGTGCCTGACACCTCATTGGGCACCCTCGGGGACGTGCCTGATGCCCCATTCTCAAACTTTGCTCTCAGTAAATTTACTCTCTGGCTGGTAGTTACAGTTCTCTGAGACATGACCTGGTCTTGTGTTTGTAACTGTGTGTTGCTACGACTGGTGCCACTCTCATGACAGGTGGTGCCAGATGTTGGTGGCTGCTGCTGGTGCTGCTGCCCACTACAGGTGGTGGATAGAGGTAAGTGTTGGTTGAGCACCACCTGTGAGAGAGGAGGGAGGTTCAGAGGCAGGATACGACGCAGCCCCACCTGTACTCTAGGTAAACATGAAGGTTCTGGCACTGCCCCAGCACCACCGCTGCCTGCTGGCACCACCGCAAGGGGCACCCTCCCATGTGGTGGTGGTCCGTGTGGTGATGCTCCATGTGGTGGTGGTTCGTGTGGTGATGCTCCATGTGGAGGTGCTCCGTGTGGTGGTGTTCCTTGAAGAAGAGCCCTTTTGGTGGAGTCCCATGCGATGGAGCCAAGTGTGGTGGAGCTCTTTGTGATGGTGTTCCGTGTGGTGGCGCTCCATGTGGTGGTAGACCTTTACGTGAGTAAGAGAACAGAGGTAACAGTGTTACTGGAGGTGACACCACAGAAGGCGAAGGAGCAGCATCTTCAGGAACCCTACTGGAGTCATTAAGTGTGGGCACTCCTGCCACAGTGTCTGTGGGCACTCCTGCCACAGTGTCTGTGGGCACTCCTGCCACAGTGTCTGTGGGAACTCCTGCCACAGTGTCTGTAGGCTCTCCTGCCACAGTGTCTGTAGGCTCTCCTGCCACAGTGCCTGTGGGTACTCCTGCCACAGTGTCTGTGGACACTCCTGCCATAGTGTCTGTGGGCACTCCCTCCCCACTGTTGTGGGCACCTTCACGGGAGCATTAATCACTGAGGACATGCTAGGAGTTGCCTAGAGAGCATAGTGCCATGGTGGGTACTGCTATGGGTATTGGGTACGGGGGAAATGAGCTGTGAAGGCGAGCTCCATCGACCACTGCTCTGCCAGATACACGTCACACTGGAGCCGAGCTTCGAGGCACACTTGACAGACTTGAAGCTACCTCAACACTGGCACTACCCACCACCGCAGCCCCGTCTGACAACTGAACTTGGCACCATGAGCTACACTCACCCACCATCCCTCCAATCCGGCCCCATCCTCGGGACCATGCACCAAGCTGAAACATGAACACACATCACAACGTTCACCATTAAAAGGTAGATACAAAAACTCACACTGAGCACAAACACACCACAAACTAACAACTGAAAACATTCAAGAGACAGCGGAATAAGGAGGAGAGAGAAGAGAGGAAGGGGAAGGAGGGGAGAGAGAGAGAGGGGGAAAGAGAGGAAGAAGGAGACAGAAAAGGGGGAAGAGAGAGAGAGAGGGGGAGAGAGGGGGAGAGAGAGAGGAAAATTGAGAGAAAAGGAGAGAGAGAAAAGGGGAGAGAGGGGAAAGAGGGGAAGACAAAGAGGGGAGAGACAAAAGGGGAGAGGGGACAGAGAGAGAGACAAAGGAGAGAGAAAAAAGAAAAGGAAAGAGAGAGAGAAGAAGAAAGCCCAAAGAGAGAGACAAAGAGAGACAAAGAGAGGAGAGAGAGAGAGAGAGAGGGGAGGGGGAGAGAGAGAGAGAGAGAGAGGGGGAGAAAAGGGGAGAGGGGAGGGAGAGGGGAGGGGAGACAAAGGAGAGAAAAGAGAGAGAGAGAGAAGGGGGAGAGAGAAAGAGAGAGGAGGAGGGAATGAAGAGGAAGAAAGAGAGGAGAGAGGAGAGAGAAGGGGGGTTAAGGAAAACGGAAGTCGATACCCACTGAGGCAAAATCTTTGATCCAGAAAATTGGAATCACAGCTCAGTGGGGCAAAACCCCTACAATAAAACACTTTGGGTTCTTCCCCAGTGTGGACACAAAACCCCTTACAGTACAAACCTGGTCATTATCAGTGTGACCCCACACACACGTACACACCCCGGGGTTCATCACCTTTGTGACAAAAATTTTTGCAGTCCCACACACTGTTTAAACACCAGTGTGACACATTTACAGTAACACAAGGGTTCTTTACCAGTGGGGGACACACTAAAGTACAAAAATTAGCTCATCACCAGTGTGACCACCATACAGTACAAAAAACTGGTTCTTTCACCAGTGTAAAAACACCCCTACATTTACAAAAAGGGGGTTTCATACCGGGTGTAAAAACACAAAACTACAGTACCAAAACTTTTAAATCACCGGGGGACACCCCAATATTTACAGTACACGTTTGGGTTTCCCTTCCAGTGTGACACACACGCATACTACGTACACACCGGGTTTCTTACCACTGTGACACAATACATAACACACTGGTTCCCCAACCAGTGTGGACACCCCTACAGTCGGGGACAAGGTTATTCCCAGTGGGGAACACCCTACGAGCACACACTGGATCATGCCAATGTGACACACACCCCGTACACACACTGGTTCATAAACCAGTGGGGAACACACACCTAAAAGTACACACCTGGTTCCCCCCGAGAAAACCACTACAGTAACAAAACTGGTTCATCACCTTGTGCCCACACCCCCCTACGACAAAACACGGGGTTCTTCCCCCATTTGGAAAAACCCTACAGTACCCCTACTGGTTCATCCCCAGTGGGGACCCCACACACTACAGTAAAAACACTGGTTAAATTACCAGAGTGACACACCCCTAAGTACACAACGGGTTCATACCGTGTGACACCCACTATAAAAACATACATGGTTTTTCACCAGTGGGTAAACACACGGGTTTCATCCCCAGTGTGACACACACCCCAAAACACACAAACACACACACCACACACACAAACACCTTACGAAACACACACGGGCTCATCACCGGGTGTGACAAATATAAAGTACCCCACAAAGGTTCATCCCAGTTTTGGGCCACACACATACGTACACACGCGGGTTTTCTTCCCCACTTGACACACACCCAAAACACACACCCACCACAAAACACACACAAACACTACCCCACATTTGGTTCATCCCCGTGTGACCCCACAATATAAAAGTAAAACACATTGGTTCATCACAGGTGGGGACACCCTACAATACCACCGGGTTTTCATCACCATTGTGACTACCACCAGTACACCACTGGTTCTTTCCCCGTGGCCACCACTCCCCATTTACTTACACTGGTTCTTCATAAGTGTGGCCCCACCCTACAGTACACCCCAGGGTTTTCAACCCCGGTGACACCCCCAAAACATTTACCCCACAATGGTTCATACCAGTGTGACACCCCATTTACAGCACACAACTGGTTCATCCCGTGTGACACAATTTAACAGTACACAAAATGTTTCTTCCCCAGTGTGACACACCCAACATTTTCCCACACATTTTTTTTCATCACCAGTTTTGACAAAAATACGGGCACACAAAACTGGTTCATCACCAGTGTGCACAACTCCCGGAAACAAAACGGGTTCATCCCCTTTCGTGACACACATATACATTTACAAAACACTGGTTAAACCCCCCGGGTGTGACCCCCCTAAGTACCCCACATTACAGTCCCACACACTATTTCATTAAAGTGGGGACACCCCCCTACAGTACACACACGGGTTTTTTTTCAAAAGTGTGACACGCCCCTTTTAAAGTACCACATGGTTCATCCCCAGTGGGGCCCACAACCCAACACACACCCCACACCACATCAGTACCCCAAACTAGTTCATAACCAGTGTGAGCACACACACACCCCACACCCCCTACGGGAAACCTACACTGGTTCTTCCCAGTGTGACACACCCAAACATTTTCACCATTTGGTTCTTTTACCGGTTTTTGCCCACACTACGAACAACAAAATATTCATAACAGTGGGGAAAACACACGCTCCCAGAACACACACGGGCCCTCATCCCAGTGTGACACACACACAACAGAAAACCCCACACTGGTTGGGTCACCAGTGTGCCAAAAAAAACACTCCCAAGTAAAAACCCGGGTTCATTCCAGTTTTAACACAAAATTTAAGTAACACACGGGTTCCCTTCTTTCAGAGTGACCCCCCACACTACAGTACACAAACTGGTTCATCACCAGTGTGACACACACTACACTACCCACAATTTATCACCAGGGTGTGACAACTTACTACAAAACCCATACACTGGTTCATCACCGTGTGCCCACACCCTACAGTACCCCACACTGGTTAAAATACCGTTTTGGACAAAACACAAACAGTAAAAAAACGGGTCCTTTTCCTTTTGGTGACACACATTTACAGTACACAACTGGTTCATCCCAGTGTGCCCACACAATAGAGTACACACACTGGTTCTCCCAGTGTGCACGCACCATTTTACGTACACACACTGGTTTTTCACCAGTTTTTGACAACAGTAAAAGTACACCACATGGTTCATCACCTTTGTGACACACAGACTACAGTACACACACGGGGCTAATCCCCAGTGTGACACACAAAACTACAATTTACACAAAAGGGTTCATCAACGGGTTGTGACACACACATCCCGTACACACACGGGTTCACCCACCAATGTGACAAACAAAAAAAAACAGTCCCACCAAGGTTCAATACCAGTGTGAAATAAAACCTCATTTTCCCACATTTGGTTAATCCCCCCGTTTTGACACCCCACACACCTACGGGTACACAAAACCGGTTCATCATCATTTGTAACCCCACACACTGCAGTACACACATTGGTTCGGGCCCCCCAAAGGTGTGCACCACACACACACTACAAAAACATACACTGGTTCTCTCCGTGGGCCCACACCCTACAGAAAAAACACGGGTTCATCCCAAGTGGAACACCGAAAGTACCCCACACTGGTTTCCCTTCCGTGTCCCCCCAACCCCACAGTACAAAATGGATCAAAAAAAGTGTAAAAAACACATACACTCCCTTTTACAGCATTGGTTCATCACCAGGGGAAACACCCTACAGTACACAAAATGGTTAAATTACCAGTGTGACACCCCAACTACATTTCCCCACACCCCGGGTTCTCACCATTTGTGACACACCCTACAGTACACACAGGGTTTCATCCCAGTTTTAAACAAAATTTACATTTACACACTTTGGTTCTCACCAGTGTGACACACACACATACGTAAAACCATGGTTCATCAGCGGGTGTGACCGCACACGCTGGTTCATCACCAGTGGTGACAAAA